CACACAGTGGTACAGACAGAAGGAGCTGGCTAACATTAGGAGTAAAAGTCACAGACTTCCTGGAGGAGGATATGGACAAAAGAGGAAGAGGGGGCACTCGGCTACCAGTGGCACAAGCTGCACTTGTTCCTGAGAGCTGCGCTGGCCTGGGCTCAGGGGCCCTGAGACAGAGGACTGCAGCCAGCACCATGCAGAAGAGAGCCCATGCACTAGCATGGTGCGCAAAGGAGGGCAATCGGACCATGCGAGGAAAAGCCAGCAGTCATGTGTAAAGAGGCTGAGCCTATACATGCAATTACTTCACAGAAATAGGTGTAATCTCCCATACATGAGTGTGCATGTCCAAAGCCTGCAAGTGTTTGCAGTCTTGCAAGTCTGCCTTTGCAGTTTCATGAGCCAAGGGAATAGAGGATTTTTTTTTTTTGTGACACTGCATAGCATGAACATTATTTAAGTAGCAGCACAAAAAGTGAGGTCTGTGAACCACTGGCCAGAATGATATGTGTCAATTAGCCAAAGGAAAATCTAAGCTAGTGTAATCCTCTCACCAGGAAAAATGAGGAGCATTTCCCCAGCTCCTCATTGGCCATGAGGTAGCAGTCAGACTTTTTGCTGGTGTGGTCCTTCCTGGGCATTTGGCACACACAGAGCCACCCTGTGTCCATGCTCCTCCTGAGGTGCCGCTGCTCCCCTGCCCAGACAATTTTCTATGCCAGCCCTTATCTGCCATGGCTGCAGGACCTGGTCTAGAGGCATTTCCTTGCATCCCTACTTCTCCAAGCAGAGCACAGAGGGGATGCCAGTGGCTCAAACCCTCACTCCATCCCCAGGGAGTACAAGTTGAAATGCCCTTGCCGTCTCATAGGGCGCAGGGATCGCCCACTGCAGGCATGGTCAGTCACTGGGCCCTGACATTTTCCAGGATGGGTCTCTTGGTCCTCTGAAAGCTCTTCTGCTTTGTACAAAAATGCATAAATATTCATGAGTAAGAGTGACTGCATGTAGTGTCATGGTCGCACTAGAGGCATCTGTGCCATGTTTGAGGTTGCCAAAGGTGGGGGTGAGCACCGGCAACCATGAACTGTTTTGTGCAGCCTGACTTGAGGAGAAAGCAAGCTGAAGGTCTGCACCCATCCTCCTCTGTCCCTTTGAATTTAAGGGAGACAGAATTTAATGAATGACACTAAATTAAACAGCATTTTACAACAGGATCTCTCACTGCAACCAGAGTTTGACTCTCAAAATGGTTTCAGTGGCAACCATTGCACAGGTTCAGACCCAGTAGTCCATCAAGTGTAGTGTGATTACCTATGAGTTTTCCTTACGTTATTACCATTTGGAAACAAAATGAACATCTCTTCTTCAATCAGGTTGTGGATGCAACAATGAAACATTTGTCTGTGTAACACAGTGCCATAGTTGCCACAGAGATCTTACCCAGTCACCAAGGACCACTCTAAAGAGAGCTGCAAGGTGTCTGCAAGGTGAATAATCCATTAATCAGTAGTGTATGTGATAAATACCTTCTGCTGTCTCCTATGAATAGCTATGTGAGGACAAGAATATCTTGAGGTGAGAACTAAGTCATAGCAACATAGATCATTATTCTACTTAAAACCATTCTCCATTCACAGCTTTCAAAAATAATGAGTATATTTTGGAGAAGGATGCCACAAAATCCGTCAACCCTCGAGGCTAACTGATTTTGTTAGTGCTGTGGGCTGAGCATTAGTTTAGGGGCACCACCAAAATATCCATTCTGACACCAGACAAATCATAGGGCACATTGCTTCTTCCTCATGGGAATGGCAGAGGATTTAACACTAGGCACTGAAAGAGTGGAAATGAAACACTGGGCTTCACACACTGCTGACAGTGGGTTTTCTTGTTTATTTCTTATTCTGACATGGGGCCACAACACAAGAGGCAAGAAGTCAGAGGAAATTGCCCCAGGCATCATGCCTCCATGCTAGCAACTGGATTAACTGGCTGTGAATGATTAAGGTTGAAGCCTTAAAGAAGGAAATGGTATCTCTGTTTTTAACAGCATTTAAGAGACGTTGGGTCAATGTATTTGCCCTTTACCTCTGGGAAGCTGGACAGAAAGAAAGTTACTGCAATAGAAAAATCCTGGACCATGGATGTGTCAACAAGTGATGCTCAGTCCCTCTCAGAAGCCAGGTGCAGCGGGAGCAGATACCATTGCAGCAGGAAAGTGTAGAAGTGTGAACCAGGGAAGTGTAGTGGTGGTCAGCACAGAGCTAATTTGTCAGAGCTCTGCAAGCTCAATGATGTCCTGAGCATTGCCTTTGTAAAATATGAATATGATTAAATAATTTTTAAAGACATAGGCATATCAAAGTATGAAAGGAAATTATGCACTGGAAAGAAGGGTGGCAGTAGGACACTTGAAGTATAATTGCTGTCAACTTTTATTTAGTAAATCATTTCTCTGTTTAATTCATAGATGCCTGCATATAGTGATTCTAAGGTAGGTTTCTGAAATATCAAAGCAAATTGTTATTTTCCACAAGGTACACAAAGTTTTGTTTAAACAAGAAGGCTTGTGGATCTATGGGCTGTGCCCGAACTCAGCAGTCAGTGCGACTTGTAGCTGGGCACTGGAGCTCATGTCTCTCAGTTGTACAGATTGGGGACCTGTACAGAATGCTATCCTATTTCCATATGGCCTGCGCAATTTCCTTTCTGAAGGAAAAGGAACCTAAACCCTGTCTCTGGGCATCAACCTCATTCAGAGTTGAGTGGTAGTGGGAACATACCTGTGGTTTGACATTTTTGGAAGTGCTGATGCATCTACTGCTTTAGAAGGGACCATAAAGACCTGTAGTTTGTAGGTCAAGCAGCATAAGATTTGCTGCCTATCATCAGTATCCCTCAGTGCTTCAGCTGGGCTCTACCCTTTGGTGATTAGGTTGATGCAGGCTCACAGGGAACTGCAGGCTGGGAGCACACAGCTGCCTTAGCGCCTGGGCATGGTGAGAGATGTCTGAAGGACCTGGCTTGTCTTCTCCTGGAGAAAGTGAACTGAAAAGTTTAGGGGCTGAAGGGAAAAGGTCAGTTAGATCTATATTCCTACTCACACAGGACTGTTCCCTGCAGTCTGTTATTTAGATATAATATGCTTTGCCCACTCTGTTTATAAATGACTCTATCAATGAACTTCCACAACTTATAAATGATTATTCCACCTTAACAGAGCCTTCCTACCAGGATATTATTGTTGATATTAGCATGCATTTTCCTTTGTTCTTTTTCTTCCCATTTACTGCTGACTAAATCTTGTAAAAATCACTGTTCACATATCTGTAAAATGTTTCCTATTCTCCTCCCCCTCCACTTAGTTCTAATTTAGCATTTATACATATTTAGGTCTTTTAATCTTTCTTCATAAATTAGTATCACCATCTCCTTAATCATTTTGATCGCTTTTCTCTAAATCCCCCTCAGTTTGTTTAATCTTTTTGGTTCCAAGGTTTGCAGAAATGTAATTAGCAGTCTGTGTGCAGTCTCAACAGTGCCGTATGCAGAGAGACAAGCAGCAACTCAGGTTATGATATATTGCTACTGCATGTACAACCAAAAAATGCATGGGATTCTCTTTTTTGCTACTAGATTGTATTGTAAATTGATGTCCAAATCACTGCCAATTAACTCCTGTGGGTCTTTTCAAGGATTGTTTCTGTGCAAGGCTCCCCCTCCTTTCTGAGGTTTACAGATAATATATTTGCTGTCACAGAAGTTAAATTCCCTAGCTCAGATGAGTTATTTTTAAAAAAATAGTGTTTGCCCCTTTTTATTATAGGAATAAACCAAATGCTAATCAATACCAATGTATATTTTTTTATCCCTTTAATGGACCAGAAAACAGAGCCAACATCACTCTTAGAGTCAGAGCTTCCCACATTCTGCAAGAATCAGATATTTCTTTCTCTCCACATCTTCATTGGTGTGACAAATACACAGCCTTTTTTTAGTTGATTTAAAAAATATTTAATACAACTGCAAAATCAAAGATGCATTTAATGTATCACTAATTCTCTCATTATTTTAGAAGTGCATAAGAAGGGTTAAGCTATCCCAGTTTGAAATGCATGGCTGCAACAGTGGCCAAGGACACCGTCAACAGCAAAGCAAGCACAGGGAGCTGAAATATCAAGCAAAAGACAATGAGAAATAGTTGTTTAACAAAGGAAAACACCAACTAGCACCCAGGCAAACCACACTGAAAACACCCAGCCAAGCACAGCACTGAAGCAAAACCTCCAAGCAACCCTCTGCCCATGCCACTAGAGCCCTTACTCTCTGCTCCGTCACACGCCAGAAAGATGTTGCCTGCCCTGGCTGCGCTAGGCCTCGCCCAGCAGCAAAACACCAGCACGCGCACACACAAAACTCACAATTCTAGTGCCGCCACCGTACTATAGCGGTGGCCACAA